CATCGACCAACGGAGAGGGGGTGATCTGTCTTATATGTACATGCCCACCTCCATCTAGCACGAGGCCTTTTGGGAGCTGACTGGCTTCGGATTCATGGGAACTCCGAACTTAAGCGAGTTGGGGCTAGAGCAATCTTAGGATGGGTGACCCACTGGGAAGTTGCTCGTGAGTTCCCAAAAACAAAACTGCAAGGGTAGAGAAGGGGGCCCAAAGCGGACAATATCGTGCTACGACGGAGCCGATCTCGGGATGTGACAATTTGGTATCAGAGCCACTCTGCCGTGTGGTGCGAGTGTGCCGACGAGGACGTCGGGCCCCTAAGGGGGTTGAATTGTAACATCCCACATCGACCAACGGAGAGGGGGTGATGTGCCTTATATGTACATGCCCACCTCCATCTAGCACGAGGCCTTTTGGGAGTTCACTGGCTCATATTCGTGGGAACTCCGAAGTTAAGCGAGTTGGGGCTAGTGCAATCCCAGGATGGGTGACCCATTGGGAAGTTGCTCGTGAGTTCCCAGAAACAAAACCGTGAGGGCGGAGAGGGGGGCCCAAAGTGGACAATATTGTGCCACAGCGGAGCCAATCCCGGGATGTAACACATTGTGGCAACAAGTCAGCTATCGATATTGCCCATAATCCAGTTCAACGTGATCGAACCAAACATGTTGAGGTAGATAGACATTTTATCAAAGAAAAAATTGAGAATAAGATCATCCGCCTACTATTCGTAAAATCAGAAGATCAACTAGCAGATATCTTAACAAAAGCTGTTTGTGGCAGAGTATTTCATGACTCACTTACCAAGTTAGGCATTTGTGACATATGTGCACCAACTTGAGGAGGAGTGTTGATGTGAGTCTCTTAATTAATCAAGGAGGTTTATTTCCTTGATTAATTAAGGGATTTACTTTCCTATTCTATAGAGTTGACAAATCATTGTATAATTAGGAGATACTATCCTAATTGATTACTGTATCTATTTCCTTGTAAAGCGCTCATGTAAACTCCTATATATATCTCCTTATGGAGAAGAATAAAACATATGCAAAAGTATTCAAACCATATTCATATTTTAGTAGCTAGTGTCTCTCCCGTCGCCCTTCGGGGTGGCTACTCCGCCACTTATGGTGTGGCTACCCTGCCTCCTTTTGTGTGGCTCTTTTCCTTTTCCTTCATTTTCATTTTGTCCTTTTGAAAGCCCTTCCTCTCTGGTATTCTCTGATGCAAGCCCATAAGTCCTATAAGTCTTCTACTTCTTCCTCTGAACTTCCTCCCCCTTTGTTCTACAGCCCTCACATCTCCCTCATCTCACTTTCCTTTCATCCCTCCACCACCCCGTCGACCCGTATCTCTTCTCCCACAAAATCTCAAATCCAAAAGTCCTCTATCCCTAAGATTTACTTGGTTTGCCATCGGATTGATGCAGTTGTTTTACTCCATCAACCCATTCTTAGATCTAAGATTTGGATTTGCACTTGTGGGCTCTACAAATCTATGGTCAATCTTGACCACAACTTGATAGATTGCTTGAGTATAACGCATGGGGGCTTGCTCCCTCAAATCCACACTCTACATATCTCCTCTCTTGGTTCCCATGGCCCTTGCTTTTCTTGTGGCGGTGGCGGTTGCATATTTGTTGGTGGCGACGGCAGCTTGTTTTGTTTAGGGTTAGATTTTAGGGGTTTTGTTTTTTGTGGGCTTTTGTTGTTTTGGGCCTGCTATTTTGGCACTTTAGGTGGGGCTTTTATTTTGTGCTGTTTGAGCCCATGCAGTAGTCTACTGTTAAGAGACGGACAAGCTCCCCTGGGAGGTGTCGATACTCTGAACTCTAACTTTATTACTTGTTCCTGGTATCTGTTTGTGTTTAGTTGACTTTGTTTTTGGGCTATTGGTAGCCTTGTGGTGCTTTGCTCTTTGTTTGCTGTGTCTGGCTATTGTTAGCCGTGTTTCTCCCTAATGTACTATCTTTTGTTTAATGGAAAGTACATTTGACCCAAAAAAAAAAAGTCATATTAGTCAAACCAAATTCAAAGCAGAATTTGAAGTAGAAATACTCAAAGCAAAGCAAAGATTACCTAAGTAGGGTCTAGAGATGTAGTTCACAATTGTAGATAAACTACATATCACCCTCCATTTGCAAGGTAACAAAGGGTATGAGTAGGTAAAGCACCGGTGGATCCAAAAAGCCTTATCGTCGCCACTTGCCATCTTGGTTGGTGTGTGGCTATGAGGTAAGAAAAATTTATATAAGGTTAAGGTTTAAATGTTGGGTCGAGGTGAAAGTAGTCCAAGGTGGAGGATCAATCGCTTTGATACCATGTTTCGATTTCATAAATGGATTAGCATTCCACTACTTTCAACACTACTATTGTCCTAAACTGAACCATCAACATAGTCCACAAAGTATAATGTTTTATCACAAAATGCTTCAATCTTATTAATAGTGAAATCACTCAACTATATATTTTATTTTATCAAGTCTTCAAAGTAGAATTTCACATTCTTCGATAAATTATCTAATTTGAATCAATTTTAGACACTATATGTGGCCTAAGGATTTTAGCAAGCTTATTATTATTTCTTTAAAAAAAATCATGGCAAAAGGGTTTGGGTGTATGTGAACTTTAAATCGAGGGGAGAAAATTAAAGGTGTTATACAGTAGTAGTTGTCTCCAGTTATTGATGCCTGAACGAACTCCTTGTCGCCTTACTAAATTCTAAATGTCGTTTTGCTATTTATTTCAGTGTCAAAGCTTGTCAAGATCTACAAAAAGTATACGTTCCTCTCATCTCATATTCCCAATATTATATATATAGATTAAATTAATCTGGCATGTTGCCATTTGTAGGACCTATAATGCAATAAAATTGGACAAAACGAAGCTCTTGTTGTGGAGGAGAACCATTCACATTCAGTGTCGCTTGTTGAAGTGACGAGTTTTGAATTGACTTCAACTGGGATCATGAAATGTATCATCCTCCACCAAATGAATAATAATGACGATGCAGCTAGGTATTTTAATTAAATTCTATTTTCTTTTATGCAACCAAATATTTAGGAGGGGAGACTCGATTCTATAACCTCGGACGTATGAATAATTGCTCTCAACCACTTGAGTCACAAGTTTCTTATTTTAATTAAATTCTTATATTTTTTTTTAGACAATTGAGGGTTTAGGATCAAATTTAGGATCCAAGATTCTTGGGTAAATGCTCTTAAACACTTAAACTACAAGCCCTTTACCTTTAAGAAAATTCTTATAAATACAAAAGAAAGTGAGTCTCTCTGCTCGTCATATCTTGTCTCAATTACTAGAGGTGTAAAACGAGTTGTACTGGACCTGTCTATTTATGAAAATCACCAATCCCGGCCCGAGTCCACAGTTCTAGCTCATATGGGCTTCGACTGTGCTTGTGCCGGTCCACTAAATAGGCGGAGATGGGCCCATGCCCAATTTGACTCATGTATTGCATTTTGTTTTTGTAATTTTTTTTACAACTTCATTTAAATCTTTTTTTACAATGATGTATATATAAACAAGATTTATTATTTATTGAAAAAAGAGGTCAATAACTTTATTTAAAGTACATTTAAATAGAAAATGACTAAATTATTATTTGTATTTTAAAAATTGAAACTTGAAAAACAAAATCATTATTTTATATATAAAGAAAACATTAAATTTTAATATATATTATTAGAGAAAAGAAATAAACTTGAATTTAAGATATAAATATAATAATATTATGTATTATTTTCTTCTAAAATAAATATAATTTAATAAATAGATTTAATAATAAATATAATTTAATAAACTTGGACCTAATTACCTCATCCCAACTCACCCAAAAATACGTGCCGTGTTGTGTCGGACCTTACTTTAACGTGCCATGCCAGACCTTACTTTAACGGGCCATACTCGAGCCGACCCGGTCCGTTAGACATCTCCATCAATTACTCATATTTCTCTGTCAAAATTTGGCATAGCCTTAAAAGATAGGAAGTAAATGACAGTCAAACATGGACCCTTGGTTTGTACACTACACATCATGTCCATGTTGTCTTTTAGCCAATAATAATTTATCCAATTTATTATGAGGTGTCCCCTTCTTTACTTTGTCCAAACCTCAGTCTTGTTTTGGACTTCAACTTTTTCCCATTGTTGTTTCTTTTAATCTATTAAGCCTTTGTCTTCATGAAAATTATGATGGCAAGAAATGAACCAAAATACAATTGTATGACATAGAGAGCTCTTGTGCATATTGTCTGGCTTGTGGCCCACGAGAGTACTGTATATAGTAAAAGTATCATGCCAAAGGGTGCAGGTGTTTAGGACCACTTTGAGAAAATTTCAAGTTGATGGCGCAGACCAACCCACCCATAATTTCATATACCAAACTTACCTCCTTATATTTGCAATCAATAATTAGTTTCATTATGTAATGCTCCCAATTTCTGTAGGAAATACTATTTCTAATTCCATTCATTTACTATTTCGTTTGGTGTCATTGAGATAAGAGATGTCGTATTGTAGGTGCGGAAGGGAAAAAGGTTTTGTAATCATGTTGTTACAGCAATTCAAGTTTTGTTGGAGTATGCTTCCTTCCTCAAGGATGATATGGCAGAATAAAAATTTCAGGTCATGCAAAACATTGAGCTCCATATTCCATGAGAGGCAAACCAATCATAATGTGTGATGCATTTGTGATTGCATACATGGTTATGCACAGTTCCAGAAAATAAAAAACTAAAAACAACACATGATGGGTACAAATTGAATGATTCAAATCATTAGACGACATTGTAGAGTGAGCTCAAATGAGTGATCAACGGCATATTAATTACTAACCGGTTAGCACTTGAGTGGTCCTTAATGGAGCAAAACTCAACGATACGTGGTGAAGCGGTAATTTAAACCTTGCTTCGATATAGGTAGATGCTCTTAATTATTAGAGCTAGAAGGCCTAAGAAACCAAGCTTGAAATACAAATAATATGTTAGAGAAAAACAAAGCAGGATTTATTTATCAAATCCTTGAATACACAAAATAACAATAGCGACTTGGCTCAACCACCTCTTTACCAATACACAAAGGAGGTTATATATATTGTAAGAACAAGCTATTCTCTTTGTCTTCAGACAGACTTACAACTCAAACCTGCAATTACCAAATCTCTTTGGAAAATCATACCTTGGTGCAAAGGCATGGCGTTCCCGAAAGCTACATAATTTCGATATTTAGGAGAAATTATAGACTCAAAACAAAACAAGAAATTAGGGGCTTATCAACTACACCAGACACCTCAGTTGAAGCTGAAAACACAAGCAGCCTGCAACTTAGTTTGTCAACTAGACTAAACAAAGTTTGTAAGTAACTATTTACATTATAACTAATTTACAAATCTACAATTCAGTCATATCATACCACAGTTACTAGGATTAGTTTATCTCTTTTTGAAGCTTGAGAGAACCAAGTGTTTGAATCAACCTCAAAGACATAGAGCTGATGTATACAACTAAAAGCCCCCCTCCCAAGACCCCATCAAGCCTCATATTTCTCCTCGGTAGAACCACAAGTGCCCAAAGCAAGCCTCCTGCTAAGAAACACACTGTCTCCAACAGGTATGGATCTCCGCGGATCACAAGAGGTGATGGATATGTAGACCAAGCAGAGCCAACAAGGGATAAGCCTAATCCAAACAGAATGTTGAAGATGGGACCAGCATAACAGGCTGCAAATGCAATTTGAGTTCCTTCAGGTCCACCATTCAAAGCCATTGTCAAATTGGTAATCAAATCTCCAAATGAGTTACCCCAAGCAAGGACTGTTAGCCCTAAGATAGAAGGACTTACACCTAATAAGTACCCTACTGAAACTAGCAAACCCACCAATTCCTGAGCTGTAAAATAACTCCAAGCAACACTCATTAGAAACCCTGCAACAAGCCAAGGAAATAAACAATTCTTTGGTGGGCTTGACATCTCTGTTGTCACAAATGCAACAAGCCCAAAAGTGACTCCAAGAATCAATCCAGTAATATAGATCACCAAGCTTGTCATGAAGGTAACACAGTCAAATTGATGGTTCCAAAGGATTGACAATAGCACTGGTGCTAGTGTCACTGAAGCAACTGCATACGGCTTAGACCATCTCTCTTCACAAACAACAGGAATAGTCAATCTCCTTGTCAGATAAAGAGGCATCTCGAGTATGAAAAAAACCATACGACAAGAAGCTGATGATCTAAGATTAGAGCAGCATTTCTTGACTTCTAGTACTTCAGAACTGCCTTCTACAGCTCCTTCCTCTGCAGCACTAAGCTCTTCCTTTTCCATGTTGCTAAGAATTGGTACACTCAAGTCCATGTCATTCCTGGAAGTACAGTTTGATTCACTGATATCCCCAGCAGCATTCTTCCAATGAGTATGTGAGATGTAAACCACAATCACATAAACAACATACATTGAAGCAAAAGCCATTGCAGCCCACACATCTATTTCACTCTGAATCAAGATCAGAACCAAGAACAGAATGACCAAAAGGTAGAAGCAAATATCTCTCACAAAGTCACATTTCTTAACTCGAATACGCCTCTGGCGGATTGAAATGCTTATGATTCCAACCACAACACATGATACAAAGGAAGCTCCCCCCAAAATTGTACTAAGACCAATTTCACCTGTCCCACCACCCATAAACGAAACAAGACTGGAAAAAACATCAGGGGCTCCATTGCCAAGAGAGAGCAGAGTGACTCCAGCAATTGTAGGGGACAATTTTAGTAGCCTTGATAGATTTTCCAGTGAAGAACAAAAGTATTCAGAAGCTGTATTCCCCAACAAATAGAACAAAACCAGGAGCCACAAAAACATAAGAAAATAACCCAAAAGAGGAAAACTTCCAAAATTGCAGTAGAAAATGAAAAGATAGTCAATATAGCCTTGAGAGACACATGGGTTTTTGGATTTAAGGTAGAGGCACTTGGCTTCATAGTCATCTAAACGAAGAAAACCCTTGCAATCTAGTGTATTGCTGTCTCTGAAAATTTCAAGACTGCTTAGAACCAGATATTCTGAAGGGTGAAAATGTATAATCAAGAGAGCACATGCCACTAGGAGAAGTGAGATATTCAAGAAAATGATGTAATTCCTATACTTAGGCATGAAAACTGAGGTACCCATTATAGAGATTCAACCTGAGGCCAAAAATACAAAACAAAAATAGAAAAGTTCAATTGAACCTACCTAATCTATGCTTGTGCACAAGAGTAACTTGGAGTAGATCATGAACAAGGAATTGGGTTTATGGCAACTAGGTAGACAAACATTTGAAGGATGAAGGGTTCGGAATTTGGTGCCTTGAAAGGTTTCCTTTTGTGCAGACTGATTAAGCAATGGAATGGAGCTTTTGGTGAGAGTCAAGCCAATTGCAGATTCTCTTCTTGTTTCCACATTGTGGGAATATTTCACTTTCCCCATGAAAGGTATAGATCATACATGCTGACATGGCTGGGACACGTGTCATATGATAGTGCCATGGGGATCAGGACAGTCGACAAGCTTCAATTCAAGCTAAAACTACACGTGGAAATTGGGTAGACGTCATCTTTCACGGTGAGCATTAGCATCTGTGAAAGCGAAGATAACCCACGAATTCATACAAATTCTTTTTCTCTTGGCTAATGATTCTGTTAGGCTTGTACCAGTGTAGGTTTTTCTGGTTTTCTGGGGCTTCGGCCCTCGAAAAAAGACAGAGAACCCACGAAATAGACTTATGTGACGGCTTCAAACATCAATCCTTGTTTTGTTAACTTCAGATTTTTCTTTCTTTTTGATAAATTCTTTATATCATGCATATCATATATTTGTATGATTCTGCTAGGCTTGTACCAGTGTAGGTTTTTCTGCTAGGCTTCACATTCAGGTCGGCCCTCAGATTCCTGTACCTCATCAACACCATACTTGTATTCATACTATATCCAAAACAATTTCTCAAATTATCGAAAACAAAGAAAACTGAACTCTAAATATACAATACTTTTGTGGGTGTAATTATTATTATTTTTATTAATTGATGAAGTGAAGCAATGAGCTTGGAAATTCTTGGGATTTTTCTAATTGTTGGGTAATTTATTATATGACTACGAATCCCTCCGTTATTATTTGAGAACACTAAAAGTTGTTGTACCAAAAAAAAAAATTTGGTTAGAATGATTATGTTTATACATTAGACTAATTAAGCGAATAAATAATATAAGGGTGATAAAATTTGGAGGCCACATGAATCGAGGGTCCTAAGTAGCCACCTTATGGGCCTACCTTTTATGCCGACCTTGATCGCATTCTCCCAGTTCATCTCTTTTTAAGTACTAATGCCGACCTTTTTTGTTTTTTTTGGGGTGAAATACTAATGCCGACCTTAATAAGTGGTTCAACTACTAATAGTACTGATGCCTTTTGTAATAAAACTAGGGGTTGGCAACCGAATCAACGCACACCTGGAGGAGAGGAACCATATTCTAACCTTACTTAAGACAGAAGAGAGAGATCTGCAAACAAGTTTATTAAACTAAATAAGGACCAGAAGCATCACAATCAAAACCCTCAAAACAAAATTAAACAACGGGAAAAAAAAAACACTCAAATGCAGAAACCAACAACCACCTACATAGAATAATACTTAAACAAACTTCATTCTTTAATTTTACTAGACCATATATAGCAGCACCCTCCAGGCTTGGCAAGCTGGTCAATGACCATGGGTAACGATGCTGTCAATAATCTTAGCCACAACCTCCTTAGAATCCCTCAGCTTTCTGATGCTCTTATTCAGGTTTGTACGCTTCACTGCTACCGCCGGTGACTCCTCCAGCATCCTCTCAATCCCGCCACCGTAAGGTCCCATCAACTCATTCACAATCTCAGCTTCCATCTCCTTGTTCACCAGGTTGGAAATAGACAGCTGCAAATGCAACGCCATAAAATCAACAAACCTCCTCATAACAACCTTCCAATAAGCAGCCATCCTCATTTTCAGATCAAAGGCTTGAGGTAACATAAGAGGGTACCGCCTCAGACCTTCAACTTCCACCTCCCCAATACCTTCTATAGTTATAGTAGAAGGGCGTTCATTGTCACCTAAGACCCCTTCTATGAAGGCGTTCTGGTGAGCCATGAGCCTATTCCATTCAGCAACATACTCAGGATCACATGTATAATCCGTAAGCTTCTCCATATCCACAATTTCGGTCATCCATTTAATCGACCTTTCTTTCATCTTGGCCATCAGATTGTGTCCAGCTCGCCTCGCACATAGTTGAAGCTGATAATAATTATCCGAATGCCTCATCAACACAGAAATAACCACTTCCTCAATGTAAGTCCAAACCTGCTCCACAAACCCAATTGGTATGCTCGAAATTCCGCTCACTTTTCCCTGCAAGATAGTAAGAAAAGCATTGCGAGGAAGAAAATTCGGAAGTGCTATACCTTTCACTTCCTCCAATGCCTTGATCTCTTCTAACAAGAAGTTATTCTTCGGGTCGCTTTGAACACAATTGTGAAGTGCATCTGAGTACTGATTGAGCATTTCAACCAATCTAGCAGTGCAATGCATGTGTCTGTCTTCAGAGTACTCTTCAAATTCTCCTCTCAGAAGAATCTTCCTAAGAGATTCTTTGGCCAAACCAATGATCTGCATGAAAGCTGTCATGGCCTCAGCAACAGAGGAAAGATTCTTCGGCATTTTATTCAGTTCAGAAAGGCAGTAATTCAGCTTGTCATTAATCTTCTTCACAATTTCCGGCAAGTTTCTTGCTATGCTGTTAGCTTGAATTTGCACCAACTTTTGCGCCAAAACTGGAATACCGACAATAGATTTGTCGATCTTCGACAGAAGATGATGACTCTGAAATAGTTCATGAGCAATGGCCCTTGCCTCCTCATATGTTTCATCTCCAATGCGGTTCCTCACACAGACATAACCAAGTCCGATGTTGACATCATCTCCCGTGACCTTCTCGAGCAGTCCCTCAGGTGCCTTATCAACTTTTGTAACCACAGCCAGCGTCCTTTCACCAGTCTTATCCACACTCTGCGACATCCTAATCGATTCACAGGTGGCAAAATCGACACTGGCAGACAACACATTCAGAATGATACTCTCTTCTGGCTTTATATATTCCATGATCATATCTTTGATTTGATCATAAATATTTTCAGGCTGCCCATGAATAGGCACTCTAGTAATACCAGGCAAATCCACCATAGTCAAATCAGGAACACCCTTCTTTTTCACCAACAGAGTCAATGGGGTGTTAGAAATTCCCTTACCTCCCCCTGCAATAGAATTAGTGGCTTTAACAATATCATCAGTCACGTTGTCTTCATCGGTACGATCAGTTCTGCCGTTGTACTCCAAGGAAAGCTCTGGCAGAGGACTTGAGTGGTGCTGCAGCCTCATTATAAGGGGTACCCTTGTGCAGATGCCTTGACCCCGTGGGAGGCTGATGCCGGCCAAAGATTCAAGGACACTAGACTTTCCAGATGACTGGTCCCCAACCACCACAATTGTTGGGAGCTGAATGCCTTCATCCATTATCATCAAGTTACGGAGTTTGTCTACCGCGTCAAGTAGGGGACGGATTTTGTCATTGTAGGATGACACAATAGGTGCGCAGTTGATAGGTACAGCATCTTGTTCTACCTCAACCAGCGCGAATGACCCTTCACCATTCAAAACTGCAGCATTTGGTGTTGTCATGGACAGATTAGCTTGCTTTCCTCCTCCCATATCTGAATTGTAGCAAGAAAATAGTTCAGAAAGAGAGAGAGATATAGAGAGAGAGAGGGAGATAGTGGAGGTGTTGATGAGAAGAGAAATGAGACAAGCTAGCTAGCTATTGATGAGAAGAGAAGGGAGATAGATATGTTTGTCATGCAACTAGCTAGCTATTTATAAATGTTCAACCATGCCTCTGTGTTATTCTTCTGGGCTAAGCGACTTCCCCTTTCGGTTTTCAACATTTGGAAAACCCAAAGTTGTGGTTTGCTCATTTCATTTCATGCACTTATCAGTTTATGCACATACACGACATGAAAATTTTACTTTGATAAAGCAAAAAAAGGAATCAGCTTTACTTTGGTAAACCAATGTCGTGATTTCCTCATTCTCTCCAAAACTTCTCTCCTCTCCACCACCCTCTTCCGAGTAGCTGTAGCTTTCTCATTCAATGAAAAAGGAAACTTCTCTCCTCTCCAACTCAACTTTGGGTTTGCTAAATGTTGAAAGACCAAAGCGCATGTCCCTTAGCCCAGCAGAAAAATTATATTGGCTTTTGAATGGATGACTTTCCATTTATTTAACTAAAATTTGATAAATGATATATATTAATTGAAAATTTGTTTTTTTGGTCCCCATCTAATGAACATTTTTCCAATCAAATTGTATGTGGTTTCCTTCCAACAGACAAAAGCAAGCACATGAAAAATCTGGCGTTTAAAACTCACACTGTTTGCCTCACTTCTTCAGGGCCTGCAGCAGGATATTGATTCCTTAATGTAGAAGTAGATTCCTTAAAGTAGAAGCAGATGGACTAGAGTGCTTTTTAAAAGAAATTAGAATTGTTAAGGGAAAAAGTTGGTGTTGGTGATGTGGGTGTCCTGGAAAGGGGGATGTATAGGACTACTAGAAAACTTTTCAAATTCGTGCGTGACTCAAGTCCTCCAAAATTAAAGCTATACCTAAGCAGTGGGCTGAGTAAGTCTAGTAAAACTCATGATACTATTTGTACTATAGAAAAGTTGTCAGCAATGCGGTAAATAAGAGTATCTCTTTTAGAGGGAGATGTAAAATGCCTTGAAATGGACATTTTACATCTCAAAAACAAATTTAAAGCTCCAATGAATATTTGAGGATATAAATTTAAATAGCACCGGAAAGTGTAAAAATTTCATAGATATACATTATCTTTTACGTCTCTATTTGTGGGTCTCACTGACACAAATACATATGAAAAAGTTGGAGAACTAAAGTGGCTAAAGCTCCACTCACTCACGAGTTTATCAATACTCGCTCACATCTTCTTCAAGCTTGCACTGCCACTGATTTTAATTTTTTTTAATACAAGCGATATTCTATTTTAATCTAATTTAATCTATGGGGAGGGGGGGTTTAAACTCGAGTGCAGGGTGGGGAGCACATCCGCTCTAGCCAACTTGGCTACGCCCATGTTTGCCCCACTACGGACTCTTTTGACTAATTGAAAATGAGTTGTGGGGCCCACCACTAAGTCAACAAATTCAATTCAAAACACCTAAGGGCAAACCCAATAGTAAGCTCTAAATAGGGCTCTAAAAATGGTGGATAGAGACTCATTTGGAGCTCCAATGGAATCTTTCAGGCTCTAAAGATATCTCTCCCACAATGGAGGCTCTATATTTAAAGTTCTACAACTTTTATGTTGTAATTTAAGTAT